TTTTTTTATTAACTTTTGAAACCGCACCATTCTTTTGTGTATACCCTACATATGTACCAAAATATAAATATCAAGTCAGTTTTAAATGTAATTTTATAGTTTTTATTTTAACTCTTCATATGTTATCACTCATAAACAATCAGTTTTTTTGGGAATAGCAAACAGATTTCTTACAAACTGGATGGTGGAAGTGTTCAGAATTATTCTGTCACTAAAGTCCACAATTACTCTCGGACCCATGTACAATCTTGCTCAAAGATTTACATAGTTGTTCTTCCAGACCTTGAAGCTGATGACTCAGTTACATCTAGTACCAAGATTTGGATCATTACGTTGAAGATTCTTAAAACAACTTCAGGCCACAATGATTATCTTTGTCATTGATAAGATTTATAGGGCTTGTGTGTGGGAGGTACCTGTGGTTAAAATCTCAGCCAGAGTATTTAGCAGTATCCTGATACTTCCATCAATTTTCCCATGTGATTCATAAATCAGTACTTTCAAACTGATCAAGGAAGTGTAATGGTTATCTCCAGACTTGTATTCAGGAAATTTCCAGTTGAATCTCAGCCAGGAAAATGGATATGCTTACTGTGGGTTTCTATTGTTTTCCTAGAGTTCTCCAGCTAAATTCCAGGATAGTACCTCAAAACAGGTCATAACACCTTTTAAAAGTCAGTACCTATTCATCATTCATAATGACCTCATATCTTGAGACACTGAATCACCTATATTACTGAAACAAGCTCATAAAATAACTAAAAAGTAGCTCAGGCTTTCAGATAGATCACATAAAGTTTCACTTTTAATTTTTACTTCAGTGAAGTAAACCATTATCTGATCACATTTAATGTTAAATGAATTCTACAGTTGATAGACTATAATTAAATAACTAAAAATGATAAGCCTTGTCCTAGAGGGACTAAGAAAAGCTATGAAAGTATTCGTCAGAATGGACAGAATGGAATCTTAGGGACAATTGAAAATGGGTTCATTAACTGTAAAATGAGACATAATCAATGATGAATGATATTTATTAAATGAAATGATTCATGACTTGTGACAATGAGTTGCATGTAAACACAGCCCACCATTACATGTTCCAACACTTCTACTTTGACTAAACTTATCACAAACTTCATCCTTATCTACCTCCATGCACGATATATAGGTTATCACATTGGTCCATATCATCTCTACTTACTTGTGATTAAGTTTGTCATACTATTCCATGTATTTGCTAATTTTAGATAAGTCTTTAGATTGACCCACTCCACAGTAAGATGCAACCTACACTCTATAAAGTTCATCTTAACATTAAACTCCCACCTATGCCTAGGTCTTCCCAGCGACCTCCTCCCTTCAGGCCTTCCAACCAGTACCCTGTAAACACCCCTCCCCCCCCCCATGCATGCAACATGTCCCACCCACCTCATCCTTCTTGATTTAATTATCCTAACATCAGGTGAGGAGTACATAACTCTGGGTTAGTAATTTAATCACTGAATCATTAAGTTCACAGATCATGAAAATAGAGAAAGCCGGGATAGCTCAGTGAGTATAATAACGATGACAAGTGGGGTTGAATTTCTGGCAATACAGGATCCTTCCCATTGCCACAGTAGACAGGTACACATGTTGTGCGAGTAATTGTGACACCTAAATGCGTGATGTGTAAGCCGAGAGAGGGGAGTTCAGTAGTAGTGGGGGTCGCACAGCCTCAGCTGTGGTGACGCACCGATCTAAATACAGCTAGAGCTACAAACCAACTGAAGCTGATACCCCTCTAGCGCGTGCTTAGGACGGGTCCATCTCATACGACGAAAATCAGTCATTCTCGCTTGGCCTCTACATGTTTATATACATTTTCGTTTCATAACTTATCTGCATTACCCAAGCATAATTCTGGTCCCAGCTGGTATTTGTGAAAATGTTTTGATAGTTATCAAGAAAATTAATGTGTTTCAGACTAAGTTTTGGCCTTCAGTAATGTCAGACAGGGTTAATTAATTTTTTCACTGTACCCAATTTAGACTTATTTACACATTACTGTTACACAAAAATTGAATTTAAATTTCGGAGAAAGAGAATCCCTTTTCCTTCAACATATAATCTAGATTTGTTTAGTGCACGTATTTTTATTTATTTCTCCCAAATTTAGTCGGCACAATGTTATTCAACACGTATTTTATTTTGTATCCAGTTACAAAAAATGTAAGTAAAACATAAGTGTGCGGTTCTGTCAAATTAAACATAGCTAGAAATTAGAACCTTAAAGAAAGAAGCTCCACCAAAAATATGGCAGAACAACTGTTTGCAACATCTTTGAAAATGAGATAAATTAATACTAATAATATGATAGCAGTTCTGATTTGTCCAGCAGAATTCAACGAAGCTACACTAGAACGCTTAATCATGAGGGAAAACAAGGGAAGAGACTCTGTTTCCAGTATAAATCTGAGTTAAACGAACATTCAGGAGACTGTCATGCAGGAAGATGAAAGAATACCATCGATTTCTCATAACTGTTTCCATGGGCCCCATGCCTCTTTCCACCTCTCAGAAAACCTTGCCACTTACCAATGGACTTGGTGTAGCTCCCAACCACATAAATATCTGGCATTGCTGGATTAACACAGATGCATGATATAATACCAGTCTGCCTCTGTGAGGAAAAGGATGACTCTGTAAAGAGTAAAGAACAACTCTCAGACCAGAATTCAAAGATAAAATACTGAAAACATTTCATTGGATCCCAAAAGGAACACAAACATAATATTTTTTAAATTAAATTAAATCTACTACTGCTTCTAACGAAATTAAATTAAATCTACTACTGCTTCTGACTTAGCTCTAACATTATGCTTAATTCTGTGTATTAAACTTAATAAACTTTATGTTGGAATATAAATTGGATTTGTTCTACACAAGTAAATTTTTAGAAATTGTTAAGTATGTCTGCTCGGAAAATTAAATACAAGTGCACGTGATACATACTGATCTCAGTGGTGCAACGTTCTAAACTGTTCAAAAACTTGACATGTGTATTAAAGCCCCACTTGAAGCAGAGATTTATATTCACATTATTCTGATGTCTGTCCTCCTATGTAGGAATACACCTTACAATAGCCAATTCCCCATCTCAGGAGTGATATAAAAATCAATTTTGACTCTCAACACCCCCTAATGGCTGACATAGTCTGAAAGAATTATTTTATTAGTGGATTTTATTAAAAACTTTCCCTGAGTAGGTTAGTTCATTGGTAATATCACTGATTTGTTTCTGGGAAATTCTCTATTTGAACTCTAAGCTAGAAAGCAATCTATCCTGCATAAGGCCTTCATGGTTTTCCTCCGTTCCTTGAGACAACAGTCACAGTAACACTTTTAATACCATCAATAAATTTCTCATCCTCCAAATTATCCAGTCTAGGTAAAATGCCATTTAATAAAATAAGAAACAGGAACACTGGAGGAGTATAGGATTTTCCCAGTTTTTATTAGTTCTAAGGAAATTAGTGAGATTTGACTTTCCTATGTTGACAAGTACAGAGATGAGGATGAAGACAGGAAGCTCCCTTGAAACACCGGTCAGTATCTACCGTGCTACACCATCCCAGAAGACAGCCATCAACTTTCCAGACATTCTACAACTATTCTTCCAGACAAAAGGCTAAACATTATTTAAAACTTCAACTCACGTTTCAAATTTCTCGTTTCACACTGTCGCCCTGGATTATTTGTGTTGAATATTCTTATGGAATTTTTAAAGCCACAGTATAATTTCTCACCAGAAGGACTGAATGCCAGGCTGTGTGCTGCTTCAACTTCATCTACACTGAAACAGCAGAACAAATGTTGTGGTTCTGGTACATGATTCCACAGAGTAAATCACATTCAGTCTAACCCTGTTATCCAACCTTAAAATGCATCACAAATGTTAACTACTGTTCTCATTTCTGGGTTAAAATTATAACTGACTTTGTAGTTAAAAGGAATGTATCTTTGCGAATGCTAAGTCTGCAGAAACATAAGATAAAATGGTTGATGATGAGATGAAATGATGATTAAGCAAACTGAACTGGAATTGACTGTGGGCAAGTTTCAAGACAGTATCCAGGGATTTGCCTAGAAAGACTGAGAAAAACCATGAAAAAACTCTATCTGAACACCCCATGTTCTGGCCAACAACTGATATGGGCATCTCACAAATATAAGTCAGGAATGTTACCTGTTTGGCTGAATTAATTTTTTTGTCATTTTATAATTGCAGAAACACTTCAGGAACTCTTATAAAATTTAGTAATGTGGAGACAACATTAAAATTTGTTTGGTGAATGTAATTTCGGTTCACATTGGTCTGACATTACTCCTTCTGTGTACACTGAATACCGCAATCGCATGAAACAATAAAGCCAAGAAGAGAAAAAATAGCATCTCATTAAAACCAATACTTTTCATTTGAAACAACTTTTGATATGGCGTTTGTTAAAATATGAGATACAAGATAAAATATTTTCTGATTCCATATTTGGTATCTTTAGTGTAATAAACTTTATATCAGTGGTTCTGTACTTCCCATACCACAATTATATCTGTAATAAATAAACGCAAAGAACAACCAAGAATGTAAAATTACAAAGAATACATTTTGAAAATACATATGTTCCACTGGATTACACCTTTGCACTGTAAAAGACAGTTCTACTCTGAAATCAATTACATCAATAGTAGGTCTACTCACGCGTTGTAAGCCCGATATGTACAGCGCAGTTCCCCAGTAAAAGCATCCCAAAGGTGGATGGGAGAATCCTTACTAGTGCTTACCAGGCTAAAATAAAGAAACAACGTGAACTGAAAGACTACATTCACATCAAAGACTTGAACCATTCTACCATCAGCTCATTTTATAAATTTTGGTCATGTCTGTCATGATGATTACTTCAGATTATGACACTATCAAAATCAAAAGTCTTTATACTATACAAGTTTAATTACATTTACATTTGCATTGGGGAACTAGAATGCAAGTCATGGTGGTAAAAAACCATTACTCATAGTATGAAGAATATACCTTTACAAAGTCTTTGCTATTTTAAACTTGAATCTTTTTAACTGGTGAGGCCAGCAGCCAGATAGTCAGCTTTGGCTCTCAGAGGGCTGTTATGCCACGGATTATTTATACCGTATTTTTCAGTACGCACGACTCAACCCATGCTGCCTGAGAGAGAAAGCACTGTGCTGGTCTGCCTGCCAACTGCTCACAACCACTTTCTTCTGTGGAAGCCCTCAGGGTTCAGCATTAATTTACTAGGCACCTGTTTCAAAAATCAATAACTCTGTGTGTTGTACGATTCTCACGCTAAACAGCGATCATTTCCCAAAAACAGCATTAACCAGTTGATCTTTGTAATGGTGAATAATTGTGTTTTCTTTGCAGTATGGACTGAATTCTTAAAATACTGTTTAGGTTAGTTTTAACTTCAAAGAGTTAAATGTGCGTTATGCTCACCAGCAGGACAGCGGGTTCCATGAAGACATAAGTGGGTACCAGCAATAATCGTATATGAGTCCACCCTCTGCAACTTGCAGGGCTGGCTTCAACTCAGGCAATATCCTGCCTTCTTGCCAAGACTCCTGACAGTGCAGCTCTGGTGGCAGATCAAATACCCGTAGCACATTGTCATCACTGTTTGTCAGGATACATGTGCCATCTGGTGACCTGCAACACAATCATAGGTCCTATATTGCTTCCATTAGCAAGTAGTAACAAGATTTACTTCGAAGATTTCCGTCTTCTGGGTTGTTGCGCTGTGTAGTCTGGTCGATGCTAACCAACGTTTCTGAGGTCATACTGCCTCCGTCTACATGTGATAAAAGTAATAAAAGTTGTAAAGTAAATTTAAACCACATTACTAAACATACCAGCATGCCTCTACTGGTATTGTAATGGATCTATTTATAAATGCTTTTCAGACAATAAACTCCATGCAGTAAGCTCCTGCAACAAGAAATTAAATCAAATGTAATTTTATGTACCTACCATTTACACCCCTTCATGCAAATGTCTTCCTTCTTATTAAATTCTCTCCAAGCCCTAGTAATCTGACTGCTATTTTCAAATTTGTACTCCTGTAAAGAATAACTTTGTAGATCACTTGCTGCAGAAATAATTTCCTGTGGAGCTTCTTCTGCACTTGAAATGTTATCAATATGTTTCAAATGAGACACTGTGTGGGAGTCTACCACACTGTCTGCTTTTTCAATAAGCGTATTTGTTACAAAGATTTCTCCTTGATTACACTTTACTTCCATGTCTGAGTTCATGTCATTATATTCATGATCATTCCCATGTAGGAGCTCTGCCCCCCTCTTTGTCTCATTACCTTCTTCACCTTGCTTCGTTAATGATACATCAGCACTTAATATCATTTGAACATCACTCTCCTGTATGCAAATTTCTTCAGTTCTTTTGTTGGGATCAGATGATGCTAATGGAATAGGCACAATACTGGGTTCGTCAGAATGAATAGCACCAATACACGCATTGCCGTAATCAGATTCTGATTCGGCCATGTTTTATTTGATAATTCCAAAAAAAGTATTATGCCAACTAAACCCTAACCTTACAACATAACCTCAAATAGTACCATTCAGTATAGTCGTTTCGTACTATCTTTTTCTTTTATCAAGACCTCTGTACATATCACAATATTTCACAAAATCTATTAATATGACTCTAACTACAAAATTTATCATAATACACAAAACTGTCAGCACAATAACGATAAACAAGGTTCACATTCAGCCTTACACACAACCACATGTAAGCCCATCACAGCCATACTACAAGCGCGAAATTCGAATTACCAAAATCCTGCACGTACTATTGGAATCGCAACAGAAAGTGTTCCCAAATGTGCTCAGCTTAGTTCAAATTCATTACTTCATTACTGGCTGCCCTAGAACTAAACTGTGGCAAGCAGCTACGTAATATAGGGTTAAAATCCCCAGCTCACCTATGATAATGTTTAAATATCTACTGCATAGGTTACACAGTATAAAAGTCAGGATGACTGTTGGAACATGACTGTTGTCTGGGTCGGTGAGTGACTCATCGTCCTGATGATGGAGGTAGCAAGGACCTCTGAAACGCTGGTAAAATTCTACCAGACTACAGCAGCATTACAACCCAGAAGACAGCCATCTTCAGAAACACAGCCGTGAAAACCTCAAATCTGACTCTAGTCTATTGCAAGAAACTGCCCATCAGTAACTTGTGCAACTGAGAAAATCTGTGAAATACTGGTATGCCAGATAAGGAGTTTATTTCACTTGAACGTGTGGGGAATTCTTTTAAAATGCTATGACTTTTACAACAGTACAGTACTTTGTTTCCACAGTTGGAAACACAGATTGATAAGATCTGAAGTGCATGCTAAAGCATAATGAGTAAATAGAGCACTTAATTTATCACCTGCCTGATCGTCTGGATCAATGAATAAAGTTGAAGCAGTCACTCTGTTCACTCCACTTTGATAGAGATAAGCTATCAACTTGTCACAGATAATAGCAACTGATGAGTGGTCAATTAGTGGTTCTGATCCACAAATAAATCTATTAATTCTCTGGGACCGAACGCCATGGTCGAGTCATGCACTCCTGACTTATATTTTGGAAGTCTCGAGTTCAAATTTCGGCCAGGAAACTGGCTATCCTGACTAAGAGTTTTTGTGGTTTTCCCCAGTTCCGCTAAATGAAATAATAGTACTTTAAATTAGGCCATGACCACATCTTTGCATAGTATTATGTGAAGTTTCATGCTGACTGGTCATGCCTTCATACACTACTGTGGCGGTTTTTTATGCATGCGAAACAAAATAAATATTATGCATTTTTACAAAATCATGGTGGATGCTGTGTCCTGAAAACATGAGACTGACATTTAATTCAAGTATGACTGGAGAGGAAGCTAAACTTTGGTAACAAAAAGAAATGCAATTGCAAAGAAACCCAGGAAATATTTTGAGTGAGATTTCAGGTTCTTACAGAAGCTAGTACTGAGATGATTGTTTTCTGAGATATTGCACTATGTAGTCTAGTAGAAGTTTGCTGATGTTACAGAGGTGACTGCTGCATCTATGATACTCTTATGATGGAGGCAGCAAGCACCTATGAAACACTGGTTACTTTCTACCAGATTGTATGGTGAAACACACCAGAAGTCATTTCATCTTCAGAATGTATATTATTTGATACTAATACCAGTGTAGTCAATAACTGAAAATTTGGCAGAATTTAAGTATGTGGGAATGATGGAAAGAATTCAAAATTGCATTAATGAAGAAATAAAGAGCTCGTTAAATGTGTAGAACACTTGCTACCGCAAAGTTCAGAATCTTTTGTCTTCCCATTTCCTATGCAAAAGTGTAAAGCGTAAATGTAAACTTTTTTAAGGAGAATGAGATGGGATGGCATGAGGGCAATGAGAAATGCATACAACATTTTTCTGAAAGAAACAGAAGATTTAGGCATAGATAGGAAAATAATATTAAAATGGATCTTAAATAAATAAGTTTTAAGGATATTGACTGGGTTTATTTGGCTCAGAAAAGGGGACTGTGATGGGCTCTTGTGAACATGGTAATAAATCAACGGTTTCCGCAGAGAGAGACGTATTTCTTAAACACATTAGCATACTATTATCTTTTTAACAAGAACTCTGCTTGATAAAGTTTCTCGCTGTAGTTAGTTAATTACTGACATCACATTAAGGGATCTGTGGCCTTTTTTCTGTGCAGGTCTTAGCTTTGACACTATATGAATTTAACGTAAAATTATTCTGCATACATTTCCTTTCCCTAACCTCTTATAATGTCAAACATAAACGTAGTGGATATGATATATATTAAAGGTCCATATTGAGCAGATGACCATCTCTGTCATACAACACTTTTATTTGTTTCATAGAAAATTAACCCTATGGGGCTCATCAGCATGGCAGCCAAGATCCAACTGCAGTAGAACAGGGGATCTGTGGAAGGTAAATTAGTAATTGGTAAGGTTTCTGTCCGGAAACTTAACTTTTACTTTGACAGTATTCTATCCATCAGGATGATGACAGAGCTAACCAAAGAGCATGATCTTTTATTTAGTTATGATTTATTTGATTATACTGTCAGTACCAACTGTACAGCATCATATAATAAGATATTTAATGAATGACAAATTTGAAGGGCTGTGGAAGTAAACAGTCATGGCCTACTTCAAGATACTATCATGGCACTTGCCTGAAGGGACTGGGAATGAAAATGAAAAATCTGTAATGATAGGTGGTCTCTGGGTTGAGATTTTAACACAGGACTGGCTTAGTATGAACCTGGAGTTTTCACCATGACATTCAATGAAAGCATGATATCACAATGACAGTTGCTAATTTTGTTTCTTTGCATCTAGTTTTACAGATATTTATTTATTCACTCATTCATTCACGCAGTCATCTGATGATACTGATCAACTCCTAAGGATAAACTTGCTAAATTAGCCACTGAATTCACAAACATATGAGTGATAATTTTCTCCTGAACCATATATAGGCAATAAATAAGTATATAAATAAAAATGTTTCATTTGTAAGTAATTCTGGAGAAACAAACTGAGAGTTTAAAAATCCAGCATGGACACTAAAATTTTTGAAATTTTGTTTATCATATTCTACATGTTTCAAACAGGGATAACTTTGAAAATATCAATATGCATCAGCATTCAAACAAAATTAACATGGTTACACAACTAAGTAATAATAATATAAATTTAAACTTCACGCTGTACCAGAAATGGTTACATTTTTATGTACATTTTATAACAACAGATTCCCCAGTTTCTGACACATCTACAACAGTCAGGAAACAGTAAGCAGATCAATAATCCCTATATTCATACCCCTCCCAGACAGAATATTTAAAATTTACAATATTCCACAGAGATGGTTCAGGCAGCATTGTATGGTAACCAAAATGAATTCCTCATACAGCCTCGGTCTTAACAGGGTGTTATAGAGACAATGTAATTAAACTTTCACACTTAAGATTTTACTGTTTTTACATTCTGGTTACAATGAAAGAATAAATGGTCTTCATCTAATGGCTATTTCTTATCTAAAGAGGCCAGCTACAAAGTTTCAGATTAACAGCTGACTATCTAAGAGACTGGACTATGACTGGACCTGAATAAACATGTGGAGGAATCATGCAAAGTTAAGTGGATGCAAAAACAGTAAAAAATAAGAGTCTTTATACTTTATCTGCAGTTAATGTGATAATGAACAGTATATAAAAGCATGATGCCCCCTTGGTGAGACTACTAACTGATCTTACTGTAACAAGAAGCATCAGAGCACAAGGTAAGAAAAGTGCTGAAATATACTTAGATACAATACAGAAAATTCATCCAGAACAAAGTTTGCAATTAATATGAATTAATTTTTCTTACATCTAACAATGCTTTTCAGCTAAACAGGTTAAACAATGTCAGATGGAAGGGTGATATATTGAATGAATTGAAAGGGATAAAAAAAAGTAGTCATGGTCTAGTTTAAGGTATAATAAAAGCATCTTCCTGGAATAATTAAGAAATATATAAAAGACCTGAGTCCAGATAGCCAGACCCCAAGCTAAGTTTTGAACATAGGGCCTTCTGAATACAAAGTATGAGTGCTATAAATTGAACACTGTGTTTGATTACACTAGTTCAGTCATAGCCACATTTAAAATACTATTTTGGAATTTTCCTGGACAGACTAAGGAAAACCATAAAAAATTCTCGGTCAGCCCCTTTCTGCCTCATATTATTAGGCCAGTGATATATGACATGTATGTAGTAATTACAGTAGTTCATCTTCAGTGAGATGCATTACAAACTGTGGCAAAATTTAAAAATAAAATAATGGTTCAAACTGTGTCAGAGTCAAATTTAGATGTGATTGCTGCATTATTACAATTGAATCAGAAAACTGTTGTTTCATGCCAGAAGATAAATAATAGGCTCTGAAAGTATACTGTCATGAACAACAGAAAATTATTTAGTTTTCATTATCTAACACAATATAAAATAGTAACTTTTCACTGTATTAAATAAACAAACTCTTTCTGTGCAGATGAAACTCTCAATCATCTTTTTGGCAGTTGTTGGTCTGGCATGTGGTAAGTAATGTTCATGTCTGGTACAGAAATAATTCACAGAATATGCTTACAATGAGTTCTGCTGATATCATTTTATATCAATTTATAGGAAAGTCACTGCCAACCCGCAGTCTCCAGGACGACCTCAATGATTTCCTGGCACTTGTCCCACTTGATGAGGTCCTTGGCATTGCACTGGACTACCTTGCCAATGATGAACAAGTTCAGGACTTTGTAGTTTACCTCCAGTCTGAAGAATTCCACAAGATTATTTTAACTGTTGAAGATGTGAAAGAGCTTAAGGATGTGAGTATCAAAATGCAGCCATGTTCATTTACCAAGCCTTAATCTGGTATAATATCTGACTGGTGGTTATATTGCTTTTTCTAGTTTCTTAAATTCATCAACGACCTCGGCATTGATGTTTATGAAATCTTGAATCAAGTTCACGAAATCCTTGGCTTGCCTCCATTTAAGCCAGACAAGCACTCTCGCAGGGGTGTAGGAATCAATGGTCTCATCAATGATGTAATTGCTGTTCTTCCGACTGACAAACTCAAGGAACTCTTTGAAGAGAAAAAGGAAACCAGTGAAGACTTCAAGGCTCTGATTGCTGCCATCCAATCCCCTGAATTTTCGGTAAATATTTAACATCTGATGTTTAGTGGAAATGTTGATGGATTCTCTGCTTGTAATATGTATAAAACTTTCTATGATGAACTAATTTGCTCCACAGAACATTGTAGATGCTCTGCGTGCCATAAAGGAATACCAGGACCTGCTTGAGAGTCTCCGTAATAAGGGAGTTGATGTGGATAATATTATCGCACTCTTTAGGGCTCTCTTTGGATTGTCTCGGCGAGGTAAATTTTGTTCTCTTCATTAACTGTGAATGTAATGAGAATTACCATTTCCTCCTCATTCAAGCACATATATGTATTTTAATTAACATTAATACTTTAATCAAATTATCATTAGTAAATTCAACACTCAGATTTTCAAAGTTTCCACACCTTGTACACAGGTATTAAGGTGACATAAACGTGCACTGAAATAAAATTCTCAACATTAGGACTGAGTTTTATCTCCACCTGTCAAATTAATGCAATTGTCACAATCCTAGCTTGTAAGAAATAAACTCAAATGTGCTTCATGATGTTTGTGATACAGGGACCCGTAATCTCCAGGATGACCTCAACGATGTACTGGCACATATCCCACTTGATGAGGTTCTTGCAATTGGACTAGATTACCTTGCCAATGATCAAGAAGTGCAGGAGTTGGTAATTTACCTTCAGTCTGCAGAATTCCACAAAATTGTTTTGACTGTTGAGGCTGTACCAGAATTTGATGAAGTGAGTATTACAGTGTATGTTTTTGTGTGTTTACTCTACAAACTTCAATTGGACATGAAATTTGTTCTGTTAACCTCTGACTGGTTTATGTGTTGTTATTTCTAGGCTCTTCAATTTGTTACTGAACGTGGTATTGATGCTAAGGCTATCCTAGACCAAATCCATGAAATCCTAGGCTTGCCCCCACGTTCCTCAAGCAAGATTACTCGCAGGGGTTCAGGAATCCAAGGCCTTATTGATGATTTGGTCGCTGTTATTCACGTTGACCATCTCAAGGAACTATTTGAAGAGAAACTGCAAACCAGCCAAGACGTCAAGGATCTGGTTGATTTCATCCGATCATCTAAATTTGAGGTAAATATTCAGCATCCAAACATTGTGTACAAATGTTAACGGATTATTTGCTTACAGTTTGAACATACTTCTGTAAGACTCCACATGATGAATGTATTTATTTATTTATTTGACAGAAAATTCTATCAACTCTGCGATCCATAAAAGAGTACCAGGACCTCCTTCAGAGTCTTCGAGAAAAGGGAGTTGATGTCGATGGCATCATCAAATTCTTGAAAGACCTCCTTGGTTTGGCTCGCCATTACTGAAAGTTTGCATATTTAACGAGAAACTGAAAAATTTACTATGGAACTTGTGAATTTGGAAACAAAATGCTGATGCATACATAAATAGTAAAATTATATTTACATGTTAATGACATATTAAATAAAACTTTGATGTATTATTTTAATCTTTAATTTTATCTTGTTGATAACTGAGCCCATTCCTATCATATACATCCACAATGTAACACACATTTTATTTTTTTTCTAATTGCCAGATAAGCATCGTCCTATATATACCTTTCTCCTCTTCCAATAATGTAATCTGTTGGTTCCATGATTATTTCTAACTCACATTTCTATTGAGGAAATCTATGTGTCATAGAAACATAGAACCTTTATACATTCATATGTATTACTAAAACTGTGGAAAGGATAAATAAAACAAACTCTAGAGTCTCAGAAATTTTTATCAACTATTTCCCTTCAAAAAAAGATTGTTTTCGATTGATAGCAAATTTTGGTTCCACCAGTCCTCTTTCTAGGAAAACATGTAGCTCTCACTTATAAACGTGGCTTACCAATTCTGTGCATTTTAACTTGTTTATACCTGTCTTAAACATACAATTATGCAATACTCAAACTGAATCTGTCAGTTATTTGAAGTAAATGTCATTGTATGTGCTTGTTGCTGTAAACAAATGGATTATTTAGTTAATGCACTGTGGTTGCAAAAGTTATAATAATTAATATAACTTTTAGGCATTTTAATAATGGAGCATCATTTTGAAAGTGATGTGTGTAAACATAAATACAGCTTGCACATTTAATAAAACTGTCAGATTATTTTGTAAAACAGTCTCATAATAGGGCTAGTGGAAGATCAGATGTTAATGTTAGGCTAGTGTTGGAAATGTCAGAGATCACAGTGATGGAATACATAACCAGGAGGTGATGAAATATATATTCAAATCACAGATTCTTTAAACAAATAATTTACCACATTTATGCATATCATAACAGTTCTGATGAAAAGTGTCGCGACAGAGTGGTTAGCAATAATGTTGCGCATTCGTGGGGTTTAAGTGGTCCAAGAGCCTGGTTATCCTGACAGGTTTTTCGTTGTTATTCTCAGCCCTTCTAAGTAAATGCCGGAAGAATTCATAAAAACAGGGCCACGACCACTTCCCTCCATATCCCTTAATACTTATTGTTCGTTTCATCCGACAACATACAGTTGGAGCTACTGAGCCTCTGTTTTCTCTGTCTTACTTCAAGACGGAAGACGTTTCAGCTTCCGGAACGTGATTTTATTGAAATGTAAACGATGGACGAGGTCCAAAATCCCGCTTTCTTATAGATTATGAGAAGGATTGTTTTCTGTGAGGAAGAAACTGAATATCTTTTAATGAGTTTTAGTTTAAAGGAGTTAAGATAGTCATAGGAATTTACACAAGATTCGAAGTCACAGAATACGAAGATTTCCCGACATTATAATTCTATTGTGTTACATGCTGAGGGTACGTTTACTGTCTACCGATTCACATGTTTATCAGAAACATAGCTGAGATAACAGCATAAATTCAGATTGCCTTGACTACGTGTTGCGAGCTGATTAGTAAATGCAATGTATAGCCTACAAAATGTGTTGAAATGTATCTTGAGATGTTAGTTTTTAAAGAATAATCATTGATAGAACACGTCATTTATCTTACTTAGATAATTTTACTTTTGTTAAACTCTGGGTTAACTTCAGTCTTGCCATGCACTCAGACCACTTGTGCTGAGATCTCAGCTGACTAGTGACTCTTCTCGGGGTATGATATGGCTGTGGAGGTGAGAGGAAAAGTTTCACTAATGAATCAAGGGGCTGGGTGATTCAGGTTATCCCGAACTCAACTATCACAAATGATCACTTCACAGAAAACAACAAACCTGTTAACTTATGCAATGTTCCCAGTCTGTGTGACATAAAACACAATATTAAATCAAATACTCTACACCTTAATATTCATTTTTATGAGCTAGAAGTAATTAAAATTGAAATAAATTGAGTCTGGTAGATATTGACCAATATTTTAGAGTTGTGGTGGAGGCAGAAAGTTCTCAGATGTCCGTTAATATCTACCAAACTACACAGCACCACATCTCAGATGGCAGCCATAATTATAGTCATGACCATGAGAAACTCAAATCTCACCTGCCTATTTTCAAACCCAAGCAAGTAATGGGTTTGAAGCCACTACTGTTTATACTACAGTTGCTAAACATTATGTACTAGCTGCTGATATAAATCAAAAACTCTCTACCAACCCAGGAAATGAATGAATCGAAGAAGTTCTAAGGATGTGGTATATGCTTAGCCTTCTGCTTATAATGAGCTTATTTCCCCTCAAATGGCTATTACATTTTTACAAATCAGTCTCACAAAAGTTAACTTGGAACATGTTTCCCCTTACCATGCTGACAGAGTATAGAAAATATTATTAGGATGATCAAACCAAGGAGAATGAAGTGAGCCGGGATTGAACCAGTGAACCTTGGGTCCAGTGGCGAGCACACTAATCACTAGTCCACCGAGAGCGACATATATAACTCATAACAACATTATATTGACAATCGGTCACTTTTCTTATTTGTGAAAGTAAGATTAAAAATGAAAAAAACAAATCTGTTTGTTAAAAACTTTTATTTATTGCATTGCATCAGACATTTTACAGTCAGTCATGAGATATGAAAACTTATTCAAAGACCACTGCGCTCATAACAGCATAAGGTCGTCACAGTGGGGTACTGGAGCACCACTCTTATTAAATCTGCATCAGAACACTATATTAAAATGAGATTGTTTCATAAGAGAAAATTTAAAGGCTACTAACACAGACAGATCTGCATCATACTGTGTTTTGTGCTACATGGGGGATTTTGCATATAAGAATTTAAGTGTCTGTTTGGACAATAAGTGGTCACTTTGAATAAATGGTGGGTTATAAGCCATGGATAGATAAATAACACACCACTATTTCATAATCATTCATATTTAAAAATTACATCTGAAAGGTTCACAAACAAAAATATCACTTTAAAATTTCACTAATTGAAATATCCCAAAATTATAATTAAAAGTTCTCAGTGAGACGCTAGGTTTAATGTGTACACTTACGAATCTTCCAGAATAAAAATAACCTAAAACAATAACTTAATTATGTTATATGTTTCTAACTCCAAGTCAGTCATTCACTAACTGCACACAAGTTGCCGAAACAACCTATGAAAGTTACGAACAATCGAGACCTCAATGATTTATAGGCAGTATATCTTTAACAACAGCAAACATGACGTCGCGCTGCATTTCATCATAACAGAATGCTCAGCATAGAGGTCTGTAAGATATAAAAACTAAATTAAATCATTAAAATTATATGTCTAAAAGTGAGTTTCTGAGCAAATTAAAATATATCTAAACTGTTGACCGTAAAGGACGTAAAAAACAAAACTCTCGAGCAGACAGAAAATGTACCCACAAATTCAATTAGAAATTTGACTTAATGCTTTCAAATTTTCTCCAAGGAAAAGATAGCCACAGATCTCAAATTGATGAAATCTAATATTAAACTTCTTTCCTCTTTCAATTTCAGCTCACGTCCAACCAACATTCTTGCAACACTGAAGATGTTCAGCAGTCTTTTTCAGTGAAGAACCAAGAATATTTTTATTATAAATACTGATATACATATATAAGACACACAGTTCAGAATTGATAAAATCACTTTTAATATAATTATATTCACTTTGTCAAAGTAAATATAATTATAGGAAAAGCGATAAAATCAGACAAAATTGCACTTATCCTAGAATAAGTGAGATCTTGTCCAAAGCATATTTTAGGCAGGAGGCAAGATGTTTATTGCAGCCATTCTGTTCAATGGAACTGAATCTAAAGGTGCGGAAACTTTTGCTTTCATCTATGTACGTCACTGCAGCCATATGCGGACACATGATGACTTTGGTGTGGTCCATGAAGTTGATCTGCAACACAACATTGACAGAAATATTATGCTTTTCATGGAGATACCACAGATGTATGCAATTACCACATTTAATAGTGTACAACATAAAGTTTCTTTAAGAATTATTTGTTCAATACAGGATGCACGTAATATACATGAAACTTGCGCCCCAAAAACATGTGTACACATTACGATACAGAATATTAACCTTGTTATCAATCTCCGTGGATTTTGTTTAACCATTATTAAATATTATAAGCACCCAGTAGAATGAGTATTATAATTTTCTTCAAAATTTTATATTCTTTTTATATCAATGTTTCACTGTATTTCAAATCACTCAATATGTAATCAACAAAATTTTATTTTTACAACGAAATCAGTCTTGAATGTTAGTGAAGGTACATGTGAACATTTACATGTTAGAATCAAGGTAATGCAATAACTCCACTCCCTCTCACCTGTAGGGTCCCATTAGTGAGGAGCATTACAACTGCAGATGAGGTGCGAAACCACTGATTCAAGTATGGCACCCGGCTTAAAGAATCGCATTCACGGACAGGAACTGTCGCACCAGCCTTCACTAGGTGCTCGCTCATGTAACGGCGGAAGTACGACAGCAACTTCATCTTCTTGTCTAAAGTTTCTGGGTAATCCTCCATCAGGTAATAGAATTCCTTTCCCGCACGCGATATGTACTGAACATTTCTGAGAAAGATCGTAAATTTTAAATCATTTTAAGCCAATAATAAAGGTGGTACATAAATCAGAATTAAAAAAAATACAATCATAATTACAGCATAAAAATATTGTTAACAAACTTTAAACAAGGAAAGAAGTATGTATAGAAATCATTAAATAATCTGATACACTTTCAATAACTAAGATTATGTAACAGTGAACAGGGAGCTTAATGGTACCTGCACCTTGTCGTGGTGGTGGGGCTTGAGTACCTCAGTGACCCCAAGAGCTACTGATAGGGCCTCCCTAGCCAGATTGGTCGAGGGGGAGAGGTCAGACTAAGACAGGTACCCAGGTTGGGGATTGGTCGCAAGGCTAACGACCTTGCACCGTAAAAAGGAAGATGTTTCGAAACCTCAATCAAAGCCTCAGGCAGACGGACCTAACAGAGGACCGAATGGAAGAGGAGAATTGAGGAGGCCATGGACCGAATACAGACTGGAGAGCTATAGAAGAAGAACAGGAGCTTAGTAAGAATTTGGGAGGAAACAGCATCTACTGCATGGACTGAACAAAAATGGTACTACATTAACGTTTCTCATTGGAAGTTTGAAAGGAAAGTTTCAAATATACATATTCCTCCAGGAAAGCTTACAAGCGCCCTTAAAACCTTATTCCAAAATCAAAACATGTACTCAATATGTAAGCTGCTTCTGGAGAAGCATGCGACATATTTAGAATTTGTGGAGCAAACATTTTTTATTCTCTAAATCCATAAAAATGTAAATGTGTCAAGACAAAAACATTTTACAACTTGTGTGACATACATAAGCTTCCGTTTATAATTTTGCTGTGTACTAATTTTTCATAGATCCCATAAAAGAAGATTATTTTAATCCTTTCCATGTATGTGGCTAAAATTTTATCCACAACTGAAACGCTTCAAAAAAGGATGACAGAGTGTAACTTTCTGGCCAAGCCACCTTTAACATGAATGACTGCAACAAATTGTATGTGCACAATATTACTAAAGAATGCCTCTTTTTTGAGCGCACGAACTGGATCCACTTGATGTGTACGGTACTGTGTCACTTGTCGGGTCTGCAGCTGTTAATTGATGACACAAATTGTACATTTTTAACCGTATGGATTTGGGTTCATTACCTTAATGTTGCAGCAATAGCATTAATATTGAGATGTGGGGGTTATAAGTAGTGTTTAGAACAGATATTAAAATTAAGAATACAAATAACTTACTTTCCATTAGCCAGCATAACAAGTTTGGTTGAATCATTGAACACGACACCCACGCCTTCATCACAGAGCTGGTAACCAAACCCGTATTTGTCGGAGTAGTCTACCCACTTGCTGATCCAAACAATGGGCTGGGCGGCCGGGTCGGTGGCTTCATCTGGAACGCAAGATATAAAAAAAAAACATTCAGTCAGATTCGATGACAAGCTCGAAAGTTAGAGAGGAATAACGCGTCAAATGCACTTTTGCAGCACGTGAAAGTGCGTGTTTGTGGATTTCGTGGCGCGTCAGTTTGTAAGACAAAATCCATCTGTATACTATTTAGTGTAAAAACAACCATGTCACAGCAAGGGGTAAGATTCACACACATGCAGATGCAGGGAAACCTTTGCCGAGGTTGACGCCGGATGAAGAGAAGAGCTCAGTACATCGTATAGACTCGAGATGAGTACGTGAGGGCACATCTCACATATATGATAAGCCAGTGACTGCAAGTCTGGTGAATAATAATCCATGACAAAATCTGAGATGTCTACTGGTGAGACAGGAGTTTTATAAATGTACTACAAACATAAAAATTATGCATGAAAGACGCAAAGGAAAACCTGGAAGCCCCCTTAGCATCCCTCCATCAGGACGTAGACTGACCTACCTCAATAAAGAGCATGAAAGTGACTCAATGGACTTACTATAAAAAAATCTTTACTTATTTTGCGCGATGTTTGTTTCTTTTTACCCAAGCAGCATAATGTCATGTCAAACATCAAATAATAATTAAAATTAATTTATTGGTTAATTAAGATAAAACTGGATTTAACCCTCTACAATCAAAAATGGTGTTACGTATGGAGTGTCGCGCTGTATGGAGCAGAGACTTGGACACTCAGGAAGAAGGAACAGAAATACCTGGAGAGTTTTGAAATGTGGTGTTGGAGAAGATCAGGTGGACGGATCGAGTGACCAACGAAGAAGTATTGAGGAGAGTCAACGAGCAAAGAAGCATTCTGCAGGCGATTACACGAAGGAAAGCTAACTGGCTGGGACATATTATGAGAAGGAATGGGTTACTGAGTGATATCACCGAAGGCCAGGTTGAAGGAAAGCGAGGACTGGGAAGAAGACTGATACAGCTAACCGACGATCTGAAACAAGGAAAGAAGATGAAGTTTCAGGAATTAAAACGAGAAGCCGAGAATAGGGACAACTGGAGAGCTCTTTTTGGGCAGAGCAATGGACCTGTCGTCAGACAGAACACTTAATAATAAAAAAATCAAAAATGCAGATCAACTCTGATATAACATGAATGTTCATCACCAAGAGCCGCTTCCTTACCTCCAAATACGCCTGTGTCTCTGCTGGGGTTTGACTTGAGAACGGAGCACAACTGGTCTCTCAGGGTGACAAGATGGTGGTGAGAATCAGTTGCTGGATTACCACTGGCCTTAGCAGGACTGCCACTGGGACAATTC